CGCTGTGTGCGGAACGAATGACTGCGACCTCTGCAGTAGCTGCCTTTAAACGAAGGCTGCTTTTGTAGCGCCGGCCAGGACACACGTACCACGCAGCCGCCTGCCATGAGGACATCTGTCTGAACAGCCGCGCTCACCCCTCCGGCTGTGCCTCAGACCTGCCCCTTCGGGGACCCTCGATTCCCCCCCAGGAGGTTTTCAGTGCTGCCGGGACCGGCCAGGCATCTCCCAGCTCCAGGACAGGGCGCTGCTGGTTTGGGCCTTGGCTACCTGGCTTCCCCAGGTGTGGGGGTCCAGCGCGGTGCCCTGCTCCCTGCCCGCTGGCCCCAACATCCCTCCCTGGCCCCGACGTGCCCAGCACATCGCTGTGGGAGTTGCAGGGTGGCAGCTGGGACAAAGTCATCCAGGGGATACAGGGACTTTCTCCCTCTCCTCCCCGAGCAGCTGGGGACAGGCAGGAACCCGTCACCTCCGGGAGACCCAGAATGTGACGTTACAGCACAACCCAAGTGACCGCGTCCCCACCCCAGACGGGTGACAAGGGGGGCTGCCCCACCCCCAGCGACTGTTCCAAGCCGGCAGCTGCCTGCGTCCCAGCGCCCATCACCCGGCTTGGGCTGAGAGGTGGTTGGGTGCCACTGCACGCCGCCTGGGGAGCCGCCGTGGGCCCCGGCCACTTATCTCCACGGGAATGGCCCCGCTGTGGGTGCGAGGGTCCCGGCTACAGCATCTCGGCAGAAATCTCTTGCTCAGGTTGTGCCGTGCTGGATACGGCATCTCCATGGAAACCCTCCCGCTCAGGCTGTGCGGGCTCGGGAGATGCCATCTCCACGGAAACGCGGCTGCGGCGGCTGTGCAGGCCGGGATGCGCTGGCCGGGCACCGGGTGCCCACGGTGGGAGGGTTGGGGTGCCCGGGGTGCGCCGGGCTGCGGTGACGGAGGAGAGCCGGACCCAGCGCCGAGGCCGAAGGGGGAGCAAGGGAGCGGAGCACAGGCCACCCCCGGCCCCGGCACAGGGGCAGGAGGGACATGGAAACTGGGGGGAGCACTCCTGTGCCTAAAGTACCAACACAGGACCTGCCTCCCCTGCCCCGTCCTCGCTGCACCCTGCCAAGCAGAGCCTCCCGCCTCCCTCGGCTTTGGGGGGCTCCCCCCGTCCCACCTCGGGGCTCAGCCAGGCCCATTCTGGGCAGGGCCATTTCTTACGCCACGGGGGCTGGCAGTGTTCAGGGACACGGAAACACCCCGGTCCCAGTAAGCAAGGGTGCAGGACCCCCATAATGGCCGGGGGGGCCCCATGGTGGCCCCGGTGCTCGCACTCATGTCCTGCGGCACGGGAAGCCGGAGGGCTGAGATTTCACCCTCAGAAATAGCCCAGATGAAATATTTTACAGGTTATTTATAGCCTCCATTAGAAAAAAAAAAAACAAAAAACAAAACCAAAAACAAACGAACCACCAAAAGCCTTTTATTTGTTGATTTTAAATCTGCCTTTACTTTCATTCAGCTCCCGCTGGTCTCCCGGGATGGCGGGTGCAGGAGCCTGGCCGCACC